CGCCCTCCCTCCCTTCCTCCCTCCTTCCCTACCGACACTCCTCCCGGCTCAGATGGCCCGGTCTGCTCCTTTTCTACCTCCGACCCTGCCTCCTCCCCCGGCAAGGAGATCCCTGTGGTTGCAGTCACCTTAACTGAGGCCTCCGGGTCGGGAGGGGCCGCCGCCTGTGCGGAGGGGAGAAGGCCCGCCTGGACCCGCGAGAAGGTAGGTGAGCATCCCTTTCCAGGTCCTTTTCCCAGCCTCCCTCTTCACTTACCTTGACCACAATCTCTTCTAGAAGCTCTCGCAGCTCCTCGTCGGTGAGGCCCCCTGGCAATCGTCGGAGCACTAGCTTCACCCGCCGCGGCCCTTCCTCTCCTCGTTTCCCTCCCCGCTTTTCCTTCTCGCCACCCCGCCTCTTTTTCCTCATACCCTCCCCCTGCTTCCATTTCTTCCCCTCCTCCCCTCTCTCTGCCACCGCCTTCTGACGCTCCCTATGCCCACCTCGGCGCCCCCCAGTTCTGCTCGACCGCTCTTTTTCTTCCCCGTGCGACTCTGCCTTGGCAACGCGGTCGTTGTCTGCGAAGGGCAGGTACGTGCTCGTGGTGAGGGCAATCCAGGCAAAAGGAAAGAAAAAGCGACAAGGTTTGGAAGAGGAGGTTGATCAGCGCGCGCCCCCCCCCTACCTCGTCGTTTTTTCCCACTCCGTCCGCTGGTCCTATCTTTCCGTCCACTCTCGCCTTCCGCAGCCCTTTCCGTGACCCCTGCGTGTCCTCCTCGGCCTGCTGCCCCGCGAGGCCCCTTTCCTCCCTGTTCTCGGCCCTCTTCCTTTCCTCCCGTACGCCTCCCTCGAGGACGGTCAGGAAGGGAGGAGTCGCGCGTTTCTCGTCTCGAACCGTCCCGATGCCCACTTCCGTCTGTGCTCGGTGCTCCCATCAGGAGGTCTACACGCGTGTGCGCGGGCACAAGGTTGGTAAGGATGGAAGTTACACGGGGATCGGGGCTAGGGCCTTGGGGGTCGCCTTTCCAGGCCCTGTCACCAAAACTCAGCGAGCGACACCAGACGGCGGGCCCAAGCCCCAGGAACAACACCGCCGTAAAAGGACTGAGAGTGGCATAAGCACAGGCAATGTTTTGTACAAGATACTGAACAGGAGGCGCAGGCATTGGGGCTGCTGTATTTAGGGCAAAATCTGTCGTCGTTCTGCCTGTTTTTTTCAGCTGCATGCGCCCTCTGGCTTCGCCTATGCCCATGTCCTTTTCAACCGCTTGGAAAAACCGGACATGCACCCATTGCGCCCATCCGCGTCCGATACCGCACACATCCTCACGTAACACAGGGTGGAGATGGGAAGATCTCTTTCAGTATGGCTGGCGGGGGCTCTTCTGTCTATTCTGCCGCTTACAACCTGGGCGAGGTCCCCTCTCGCGCGCCTCAACCCTCCCTTCTTCTTGCAAGAGGAAGAGTTACTGGGTAAGGCAACAATACGCAAAGCATCGTGTAATGTGGAGTAGGAGAGAGGATTTTGGTGGGAGGGTCGAAAAGGGTGAACTCTGTGGCTTCCTCAGGGCAAGCTATTTGGAAACTCTCTCGACTTGCTCCTCGGTATTCCAAAGCGCCTCCCCTCAGGTGCTAGATACCTTGCACGTGCGAGCCTCGGCACATCCCAACACTTCCCCTATTCTCCACCACACTACCAGAGGCCCTGGGGTACACGTCGTCGGAGCCCACTGGCCCCTCTGCCCCTGCCTCCCTCCCCCTCCCTCGTGCGCTCTCTGCCTACACCAAAGTCTCCTACGGCCAAATTGTGGAGGAGATCCATGCACTGGAAGCGGAGTACCCAGACCTGTTGGAGGTGCGCGGTCTCGTCGTCGGGGTGTGTGAATCGCAGTTTCCTTAACTTGCATCCTTCTGGCCCTTTTCCCCACCTGAAGGTGACGACCGCGCAGGAGGCCTACGGCTTGCCCAGCCCCGGCGACTGCCACGCTGCGAACGGCTCGGTAGGGAGGGAGGGAGGGAGGAGGGGAGATAGGGAGGGAGG